TCTTCCTCACCGTGCAGTAGATATATACAGTCACTCTTGCACAAAACTTCCAACTCCCTGTAATGCTGAGAAGTCCCCCCCCTTTTTAACAGAATCTCAGAAGAATGATGGAACACAGCACCTTTTTACACTCACTGTTTCTGTTAATAGTGCACATAAGCATTTGCTCTTTGGAAATCCCATTCAATCAGACTATTCAGAAGTAGCGTCTTGAGAATACGCTGAAGTGTTAAAGACACTCGGTTAGATTCTGATCTCAGTGATACCAACCAATTCTGGGAATATTGAAATTATTCTGGATTTGTACCAGTGTAATTGAGACCATAATCTGGCCCATTATATAAACAATTGTGCAAAATCTATGCTGTACCTGGTTGTCCAGGATGACCTGGTAATCCTATAGAGCCAGGACTGCCTGGAAGCCCAGGAAGTCCTGGAGATCCCACAGTATTCATTCCAGGTTGTCCTCTCTCTCCCTTAATTCCTTTCCGTCCTGGATATCCCTCTGGACCATTTACACCAAATCTTGATAAACCTAACACAAGATAAAAATGGGATTTAATTTCAATTATCTTAAATGACCTTACAGAGCTAATAAGAGTTTTTAAAAAGTGTGCTCAGTAACACAGGAAGGATTAGCATGTTTGAACTTTTGTTCCTATCATTCAAATTGGCTGTTTAGGATATGTGTGCACTGCTGACTTTGCATGGGTTCAGAAGTGTAGATATGCCCAAACCTCCCTCTCCATTATTCATTCTCAAACATCTGAAATATTTATCTCAGGTGGGTAGATCTCAAGCTAGTTAGCTCATCTGAGGGTGTGAGTTTGTGCTTTGCAGACTTGATGCGATGAAGGTGCAGTAACCAGGTCTCAAAATCTCACTAGTTCTCCACTCCCATGCCACAATTCCCTGTACTCATATCTTTCTGCCCTTCCAGATATAAATGTTCTTACTTCATCAGTATGCACTGGAAGTAAGTAAAATGTCACAATCTCCAAAGCTTACTATAGCAGAAAACGTCACCCACTTGTCTCAACTGGTGGGAAAACTGACTCATATTTAGCAGGTGATCCACTATGACCCCTAGATCCTTTTCAACAATTCCCCCTCCTAGGCAGTGATTTCTTCTTTTGTATGTATGTGACCAAGCAAAGGCCCATACAGCTGGCACTGGGGATTCCAAGCTGCAAGTGTAGTTTGCCCCTTAAGAATCTGCAGCCTGCTTGTATCATCACATAGGCTGAGAATCCACTATTAACATTGGATGTGATCCACTATGACCCCTAGATCCTTTTCAACAATTCCCCCTCCTAGGCAGTGATTTCTTCTTTTGTATGTATGTGACCAAGCAAAGGCCCATACAGCTGGCACTGGGGATTCCAAGCTGCAAGTGTAGTTTGCCCCTTAAGAATCTGCAGCCTGCTTGTATCATCACATAGGCTGAGAATCCACTATTAACATTGGATCTATTTATATTAATCTTAATTTGCATTTTTGTTTATTTGCTAGGTAATCTGCCTTGATCTGTTTGCTAACCCCTTAACATCTATCTTTTGTATTAATAAACTCATTTTTGCTTTGTCTAAACCAGTGTGTAAATCATAACTTGAGACAAAAGGCTGTTGCATATTCCTTTTCACACTGAGGGGCAAATTTTATGATCTTACACATTACAGTTCCCTGTACAGTGCAAGACAGTATAATTTTGGGTTTAATTTTGGGCTTGAGGAACCGGGAGGTGCCCTAGCTCAAGCCTTCAAATGCAGAACCTGCCTGCATGTAACTGAAGATGGGTGTGTTCTTATCTGTAGAGAGAGCTTTGCAACTTGTCACAGAAGTACAGTGTAAAAGGCAGCTCAGGCTGGTGGGTGTGAGAGGCTCAGTGGTACTCCAGTTCCAGGTGGAACCCTGAGGGGAACCCATCCCAGAGTGCGCCAGTGCAGTTTGAGTTCCCCATCCTCTGAAAACGAGCTATTATGTTCAGAAACATTTCTTAAGTTCACCACTCCTATGTAAACCACACCATTCATTGCTTCACAAAGCCCCACTCTCATAATCCCAACAGTTGACTTGCCAACACCAAATATAGCTTGCTATGTATCTCTCTAGCTGTTAGTACAGATTGGACCTCCGTGGTCCAGCATCATCGCGACCTGACAGATCCTGAAAGAGAGAATTTGCTGGACCAGGGGAGGTCTCCTGCCACAGTCCCCCAAGCTCATCACCCACGGCTAGCAGGCTACCCCAGCAGGCAACCCTGCCTCGCCCTCCCACCACAACCTGGCTGGGCTTCTTGCCCAACTACAGCTGGCACCGTGGGCAGCACAAGCTCCAGCTCTAGTCCTGCACAGGTGGGAGCAGCCACGGGGGTGGGGCTCCAGTCCCGGCCCTGCATAGCCAGGGAAAGCCTCAGGGCTATGGCCCCAGCCCCGTGCAGCCCCAGCCATGGCCCCATGCAGCATGGGGAAGCTGCAGGGCTCTGACCCCGCGCTCCTGGGGATTGCCACAGGGACTCTATGGGGCTCCAGCCTCAGCTCCATGCTCCAGGGAGCTGCTGGAGGCTGCTGTGGGGCTCTGGCCCCAGTCCTGCACTGCCCCCAACCAGGCTGATGACCCTGATGCCCTGCCCAGCTGGCCCTCCTGCCCTTAGTCTCCCGGGTTCTCTGGTCAAGGAGCATCTCTGGTCCTACCAGACCACGGATGTTGCTGGATTAGAGAGTGCTGGATTTTGGAGGTACAACCTGTACTGCTAATGCTTTCCTCATCAAGTGGTCAGGCACTGGAGGGATTGGTGCTAGTTCCTCATGTGGCCCCATGAAGATCTGTTCCCTCATGTGGAAAACTGGAGCCACTACTGTTTTTCCCAAGTCTGCAAGATGATGTGATCTAATCACATTATGCTACTTCTCCTGCACCAGAAGTGTCGGTAAGCCAAGGGGATTTCATGGCAATAGCAGCACTGTTCATCTCTGCCCAGTGTGCCATGAATTAATTATTGTAATCTCCCAAGTCCTGCTGTTTGGACATTCAGAAAATGCTCCCAAAATGTAATTCAGTATCTCACTGGACATCAACTCCACTGCCTAAACATTTCACCCACAGTAGGAGCAGCTTCTCCAAAAGATCCATGACTTGACACAAGTTCAAGGCAAGGAATATAGTTCTAACAAAGCATCACAGATCAATTCCTAGAACAGCTCCATCTGATGCAAAGAACACTGGGATGTGACCCCTGAAATGATTGTACTAAACTTGTGTACCTAGAGCAGCAGCACCGTGGATGTAATTTTCTATATATGACCAGCACAGAAAAAGTACACTCTCAGGGTGGGTTTGCTTGGATTGTACCCGCATACACATGAGTACTCAGGTATGTACACTAGTGTAGATATACCACTACAGACATCCATTCTCACACATAAGAAATAATCACTTCCTTCACAACAGTAAGTAAAATAAGCCAAATGAATATTATACGATGCTTTTTAGTGTGCTATTGGTTCATGACAGATACCTGGTCTTCCTGTCACTCCTGGGGAACCTCTTGGCCCTACAAAAGCAATACATTAAAATCTGAGTTAAACTCCCTGTATATATTGGATTTTCACTATTCAAAACTTGTGCTAGTGTTTTTTACGACATGCTGGATTGTATAATAAGGATGAACAGCAATTTTGATTTAAAAACCAAAATGCACAAAAAGCTGCCACTGGCATCCAATGAGAGCTTTGTGTGCACAACGGTGGTGGGATTAGACCATTACAACTGGCCAAGTGTTGAGAACCGCTGCAAGGTATTGGGTGTCCTCAATTCTCACTGATTTCAGAAACAGGAGTAGCTTCATATAGGTGAATATCCCACTGAACTCAGTAAGACCACCTCTGTGTACAAACATATACAGGATCAGGGCTCTAAAGAATAGTCAGGCTTGGCTACTAGGCAAACAAATTGTGTCTATTGTGTCAGAGTTTATTACACAAATTCTTCATTATATTGTGATGTGTCCTGAATGAAAACTAATGAGGGTTCGTTTTTTATTTTTGCCATTAACTTTTCATTTTATAGCATTACTAAATTTTAAAAAGGTTAAAACCCAGGCTGATGCCTATACCATTTCTGAATGAAAAGTATTGTGAAACAAATGTCCTTTTCCCAAAGACGGATCATGACCTTTATCTTTCAATTCCTTGCCTGGTGTGCAGCAAAGATGTCACTGATGATATGTTCCACTGAGTGTAAGAGCAGGGGCACACAACTGAGGGCAAACACAACACAAGTAAGTGTCTGGATCCTTGTGTCCCATATTCTGAATAGGAAATATGGCCTTCACTGTGATGCACAGAATACAGCTAGGCATTTAGCTATGAGCCTCTTTGATCTCACTTCTTCTGTCATTGCAGTAATTTGGTGGCTGTGCAGCGGCACTCTGCAGGCTCAGGTTCCTTGTGACAGCTCCCGCCCTCCTTGTGCTGTGCACAATAAAGTCCTTGGCTCAGATTTTTTTCTATTAAGTTTATAGTTTCCAGAGCTCTCTCACCAGGTAAGCCAGGTTGGCCTTTAAGTCCTGGGGGTCCTGGATATCCTTCATCTCCTTTTTCACCAGCCACCTCATCGTAATATTTTGTCTTAAAAGAGACAGCAAGAGAGAGCAAGTGAGAGAATAGTACCAATGAAGAGAAAGGCAGTTATCCGTGATGAGTCCTTGTCATGAGTAATTTGCTTTCACATACACCTGATTTCTTCCATTAGCTCTCAAATCCAAGGTCATATAGTCAGGGGGAGGAGTCCTGTATTTGTCAGGGTCCTTCAGTTTACTTGCACAACACAGGACCTGGAGATGCTGTGTGATGCTAAAGAGCAGCTAAACTCACAGGGCATATCTTCACAGGGAGTTATTTTGAAATAAAGGGAGTTATTTATAACTCCCTTTATTTCAAAATAACAAGGCGAGCATCCATACTATCAAGCCTGTTATTTTGAAATAATAATTCCTGCTAGTGAAAGGGAATAAACTTATTTTGAAATAGCTATATCAGGAGCTATTATTTCAAAATAACCCGGTAGTGCAGACATAGCCATACTGATTATTCCTAAACGAGCTATTCTGTTGGGAGAAATATTGGGCTAGATGCTGTTGTGGTTGGAAAACTGGAAGACCATTGTATTTTGAGGAGTTAGTGAATCTTCCCAGTTCACATGTTTGCAAACTAGACAACAGGCTTTGGCCTGCTATTAGAATGGAAAATTCCCAGCGTCTAACTGAGGTAGGCTGTGCCTTGTGTGTGTGTGGGGGGGGGAGAGCTCATTGCATAATTGGTAACCAGAGCCTATCTGTGGGAAACTCCTCACAGGCAGGTGTTTTTTGGTTTCTGCTTTAGCACAGAGTTAGCTGCTGCTTCTAGGATTTTGTGTACAGGCTATATATTGCTCAATGTTGCCAACACCCTTTGGACTTCCCAAGGGATCTGGAACTATACAGAGATGCCTCTTGGACATGGCCCAGGAGTCCATCCTTTGCTGAGCCGGAGTCCCTAGCAAGCCAAAGGGATGTTGTAAGCCTTCCCCTGCCTTTTCTTTCGAGATAATCTAATAAACCTTGCATTTATCCACATTCAGTGATTTGTGTCTTCTTGGTTACCCTCCGAACCTTAGAGCAGAGTCCAGCCTCTGCTGTAAAATAGATGCTCATTCTTTTGACCTTATGACATCATGAGTCTTTGTGTTTATTCATTACTAATTCCAGAATAATTGTTCACAAGCCATCCTATTTGAAATTGGGATTTATATATGTGAAATGAGCTATGGTCATACACATACAGACAATCCTGGGACTTTCAGCACTGTTTGCACTGAAAGAGAACTCTTTCACTTGTAAGTATAGTCACTGGGGCAAACTATAAGTTGGAGACATTCACAAACATTGAGCCAGTGTATGGCAGGCACATAAAGGATGGATGGTCTCATTGGTGATAATTCTACAGTGCTGCCAAGTTTGCATGAAACAGGTGCACGACAAAACAAGAGCTCAGAGACAACAATAAGTCATTGCTACTTTTTGGATTATTTTCCAGGTAAATAACCCAAATTGGATATCAGCCATTGTATGCATTTCATTTATTTTACAATGGCCAGATAATAGCCATCACCAATGCCTAACCACAAGCAGTACAGTGAGGCACAGATAAATCATGCAACGTAACATGAATATTAGCCCTGATATTAACAAAATGTCAGAGTCTGAGCTCGATGCTCACATTTTCATTTATTAATTTATGTATTTTGTACAAAGCTCTTGCTAAGACAGAGAATACAAATAGGTTTATGATTTTAAAATGGACTGCATGTAAGCTACTAGGGTTAAAGGCTGCCATCAGACACGTGTATGGGCTTCTAGGAAAGTCAGAAACTGCATGCCTGCATCAATAAGTTTATTTTGCTTTTAGTTTATGACGACTTTTGGTATTTAAAAACTAGCAGCAATTGTTCTAGACATGATTATGATATCACTTCAGAAATTTTACTGTTGTGAACTTTCATGACTCTTTCACAACAATTATCTCTCCAGTTGAAATGACTGAGGTGCGTGCTTCTCAGAGTCTAATCCTGCAATGAACTCTGCACAGAGTAAAGAAGCCCCACTGACTCCAAATTTTGACACAGAAGAGCTCTAGTCATGGCACCATGGGGATTTCAGTATGACAGCCTTCAGTCAAAACTGAATTACTTTTCTCTGAAAATTTTAAAAGAATGACACTACTATGTTAATTCAAGCACAATTTGCACTTACGGGACCAGGAAATCCTGGCGGGCCAATGTCTCCTTTCCTCCCCTGCATGAAAAAAACAGAAATGGGTCACCAGTTAGATACATTAAAAATAACATACTCAGAAGCCTTCTTTGCATTTTGATTACCAATTCTATGTTAATCAGACAGACCTCTTAGCTGACCTTCATATTATATAGAGCTGAGTTAACTGCTGATTCTGGTGTTTATTCAATGATTTCTTTTGTTGTCATTTTCTGCCACATCACTGAATGAACACTATATGTCTAGTGATGTATGAGCCAAAATGCAATAAAGAAAAACACCCAACCCCAAATTATATTACGTAATTACCTTAGCACCTACTATGCCAGGCAATCCTTGGTAACCACATTGCCCCTTCTCTCCCTGTAGAGGAGAGGATAGAATTATTAAGGGTTAGTCTTCTACCTGTTTCATACATAAGAGCCAACATTAAAAGCCTAGGTCATTCCTACCAATGGTAAAAAGAGCGTGGGGGCTCTGGCAGCCACCCCAAATTGTCCTGTGGATGGGACGACTCTGTTCCCACAATTCCCATGGGTTTTGAAGCTGATAAGATAGCACATTATCAACTGTATTTTCTTTGCTGACTCATTTCAACAGAGCTAGATGAGAGCCAATGTGAATCTTCCCAGCCCAGCCACTGGGCTCCTCTCCACAGACTGACCAGGCTGCTCCACCTCAAACATAAAATTGGTCTTTGTAGACTCTGAAAGGGAAAGTGTGTTTCAAAAGCAGCCAGGCTGTCTGTCTGCATGGAAGCAAGGAAGCCTGCATGTAATGCATTCCCTCAGACTCTGGATCTATGGCCCAAAGCTTGGTGTGTAGGAGGACAGTTTTAAAATGTATCCAATGTACATTTCACATACAAATCAAAGTAGAGAAGAGCTGTAACATAAAGATACAATCCTGTCGGGCTTACACAACTCTTATTAATATAGCAAAACAACTAAAAGGTGTCTTAATTACCAGAAAACCAGGTGGACCAGGGATACCATCTTTTCCAGGTTTACCCTACAAAAAATGTGCACAAAAAGTAACAGGTGATGCTGCATTCTGGAGAACAAATGGCCAAATTCTGCACTTATATTTGTGCCTAACACTCAGGGACATTGATTTGAATGATTTAAAATTACTAAATTATTAATCAATAATTAATACTTATTAAATTATTATTAAATGCTATTACTGCTAGTCACCTAGGGAAAAGAAGGAGAGCAAGGAGTCAAGGATGACACTGAAATTGCAAGTCTGAGGGGAAAGCATGTACCCTCTGGTGAGTTTGTATAATAGAGCCCCTTTAGGGTATGTCTACACTACAGAGAAGATCAAAGCTGCTGCTGTCAATCTTCCAGAGTTCAAACTAGCAGGTCTAGTTAAGACAGCTAATTCAAACTGAGAGGGGCATTCCGAATGATGCTGGTAATCCTGCTTCCATGAGGAGTAAGGGAAGTCAAAGGGAGACTCCCTTCGACTTCCTGCAGATTGGATAGAGCCAAAAGCTGAGTTAAGCTACTTTGACTTCAGCTACGCAATTAACGTAGCCGAGTTGCATATCTTAACTCGACCTTGTCCTCTAGTGTAGACATAGCCAGAGTGACAATTCAGAGGAAGTGTGTTGTTACAGCTCCCTACTACAGAGCCTTGGCTTTTAAGCTTCAAGCTTAAGCCACCTCATGTTTTTAGCTCCAGAAACCCTAAATTCAAGCCTCACTGTGTTTGGCCAAGAGGGTGACAATCACAAATGCATATGTGAAGAAGAGACAGTGAAAAGAAGAAGCAGTGGAGGCTGAGGAGAAATCATGAGACACTCTAACATATTGGGCAACTTGTATATTTCCTCTTTTTGTACTCAGAAGTCAAACAGAAAAAAAGATTTTTCATAATTTACCTTTTATAAAATAATATTGCAAATTACTGCATCTTTCAGAGGATCTCAGAGAAACCCATAATTATCATGAATTCAATCTAAGCACATTACAGATTCAGTCTTGCAACCCTTACTCATATACACAAAGCCACTGAAGCCCATGAGACTCTGATGCAAGAAAGAGCTGCAGAACACTACCAAAAGTAAACAGCACAAAATTAGTATGGTCAAAGGCTGGTAACTGATTCTTAGAATTCATTTCCTGTTTTTTTCCAAATCTATCTACTTCTTACAAAAGTTATAAAAAACTAGCATTCACACCTGATTATTAAATTCGTCAAAATGCGCAGAGAAAAAATTAACTCAATGTACATTCATCTCCATCAGGCTTATGATTTACATGTAATATGTCAAATACTGGAGTCGGTCCTTTGAAACTGAACGAAGAACTGATATGTAAGAAAAGTATCTAAAGATATCTTCTTTCTCAACAAGCCTGTTGGAGTGGACCAGTATTTAGATTCATTTTTTCAGCCTTAATTGACAAAAATATCTCTGATTAAAAATATCTTTACTCCTGCTAGCACTGCATAGCCACTGCATCTATTGAAGAGCAAGGAGGATTCCTTTCTGGGTCATGCATCATAACAGAACTGCTGACCAAATTTCACTCATAGAACCTTCACCCTACGATATGCAGGAGTGTACCCTCAACTGAATTTAAATTCAGTTCCAGTTCAGGAAGCATGCACCAGAAAGAACATTCATTTGACTTTCAGATTCCAGGTTGAGTTAATTGTACAAAAATCTCTTTTCACCTACAAGCCTAGTGAATTTTCTCTGAAAGTCATAGAAAGACAAAGTAGGAACTCCACAATAACACAGAAAATGCTTTTCAGAGAAGAATGGCAATTTACAGGGTTACATTTTTTGCACGTACCTGTGGACCAGTCTCTCCTGGGTCGCCTTTTTCACTTTGAGAATCTCCAGGCAAACCCTGTAACAAACCCACATATTATTGGATTTGCATTTTTGCATGTTAACCCATTAGGTATTATTTTATTACCTTTTACAATGAAGTCTGATTATAGCTGCTGTTAACAAATCTTCACTGATCATTTTCCATGACAGCGTGAAGCTGTATGACGATCCTGGATTTTGAGAGAGTGTCTCTGATCACTTACCAATGACCCAAATGGTCCTGCGGGACCCCTTGATCCTCTCTCTCCTTTCTCTCCTTTCAAGTCCTGTAACAACAAAATAAAACATTTATATAGTCTTTCAGATTTTTCAGTGTCTCCAAAAACTCTAGGCTATTTATACAAGTTTTCATAATTAAATAAATTAAGAGCTTGACCACTGGGTAAGGCAGAGATAATAACAGAAAAAGCAGGCAGGCAGGTAGAAAAGTTGGCAATTTTTTAATCACTATCAATGACTGATGTAATGTGCTATTTGCAAATCAAGAAACCAAACATTTTCTCAATCGTTTGCCTTTTTCAGGTTTGTTCTTAACATGAGTGTAATTTTTTCTGGAAATTTTGAACAAAAATATTCTAATTGTTTTCACTTGGAAACAAAAATATTTTGAGAGCCTTTTTGGAACAGTTCTAGTAACTCAATCTTAGATCTTGAAAGATATCATAGGGTATGTCTACACTACAAAGTTAGTTTGAACTAATGGACGTTAGTTCGAACTAACTTTCATAGGCGCTACACTAGCGCTCCGTTAGTTCGAACTTAATTCGAACTAACGGAGCGCTTAGTTCGAACTAGGAAAACCTCATTTTACGAGGATTAAGCCTAGTTTGAACTAGCTAGTTCGAATTAAGGGCTGTGTAGACCCTTAATTCGAACTAGTGGGAGGCTAGCCCTTCCCAGCTTGCCCTGGTGGCCACTCTGGCCAACACCAGGCAAACTTGTCTGCCCCCCTCCCGGCCCCGGAGCCCTTAAAGGGCCACGGGCTGGCTACACAGTTTGTGCCAGTTGCAAGGCTGCCAGCACCCGTGCCAGCACACCCTCCCCCTGCCACACCATGAGCCAGCCACCCGAGGACACCCAGCCCTCCACTGCTCCCCAGGATTAGCCTGGCGGCTCCCAGGAGCTTGCCCGGGGACGCAAGAGGCAGGCACCCGCTTGGTCAAGTGCGGAGATCGTGGACCTCACTGAGGTTTGGGGGGAAGCCTCCAATGTCCACGATCTCTGCACTAGCCACAGGAACGTGGCTGTCTACGGCCGCATGGCTGACAGCCTGGCCGCCAGGGGTCACCAGCGCAGCCGGGAGCAGGTGTGCTGCAAGATTAAAGATCTGCAGCAGTCCTACCCCCGGGCCTGCCAGCCAGGGGCCGACCCGGAGGCCTGCCTCCACTTCCAGGCTCTGGACCGCCTCCTGGGGGCATATGCTGTCCCTGCCCCCGGGATGTGATAGACCCCGGGGCGAAAATGTCCCCGCCGGCCTTCTGTCCAAGAAAAACAGAAAATTTTCTGGTTTTTTTGTTGGTTTTTTTTTTTTTTTGCCAGACAGAAGACGCAATTACTGGGCAAAAACCGGACACCTGGCAACCCTAGGGGTTATAGATAAGCACCACTGAGGCCTGGAGGAAGCCAGAGCCCGTGCCTGTGAGCCCAAGTTGGCTGGCTATGGATGTGTAATTACAGTATAGACAGACCCATTGTGAAATGCACTCCTTGCCCTTGAAAAGTTTATTGTATACATAGACAAAGACTTGGAAAGGAATCAAAGGCACCATGAGCTCAAGCATAAACTTGGGAGAGTCACAGCTGGGATCAGAACCATCCCCTAGTCATTAACATGCTTCTTTAGCACAGCATGTTAAAAGGTGTAACAAGACATGGAGAATACATGCAACTCTGGTGTCCAGATGTTAAGTGCAAGACATGCATGATTTCATTATAAACAATACAGAATAACCAGTTAAGAGGCCGTGAACAGACACAAAGGAAAATTAATTCAAGCAGCAGCCATAAATTTCTCTCACTCAAATGTCATACAATCTTTTCCTCATCAGCGCTAATCTCAAGCAGTCACTGTGAAGGCTAGAGCTGTGCATAGCCAATTGAGCTCTCCAGACAGTCCCTACCTAATTGGCATCACAGCCATCTGGGGGGGGGAGTCTGGCTTAACAAAATCCAACCCTCCATTTCAAACCCTTTCAGCCATCCTCATTTAGAGAAACAGGTATTTTTGTCTGTCTTGTAGCAGCACAGCAATGTGCAAGGGTAGCTGGCAGCACCAGCCAGTATGATGTAATTTACCAATACAAAGGTGCAGGCCTGGCCCCAAAGCGCACAGTGTGTGTAGACAAGTTGCATATGCTGGACAAAAGGGGGAAAGGAATAAAAGCAACAAGGAACACAGAACTCATAAACAAGTTGCCTCGCACTAATAGCTCATAATCCTCTTGGGACTCATGATGGAAACAGGTCTTAAGGAGGAAGCTGATGGAAGACTGAACAGAGACACTACAGAGCAGAGTCCGGACAGCATGGACAAACTGCTGCATCCACACAGAATCCCACCAAGGAGGCTCCAGGCAGGTGAACGGCTGCTCCTCTTTGCATCAAGTGAAGGTTGGGAGCCTGTCCAGGTAAAACAGCTTGCAAAACACCGCTCACCAAATCAGAGGCTATGGATGATTAGTGAGGGAGAATTACAGAAATGTAGGACTGTGGGGGACATTGAGAGGTCATCTAGTCCAGCCCCCTTACCCTGAGGCAGGATTAAGTATACCAACCAACCCTGACAGATGCCTGAACATGTAAAGCAGGTATCTAAACATTTGAAACTGAGTTAGTTTTCCAGTAGGAAAAAGGTAATGGATGTGAGAAGGAAAGAACAGCAGAGGAGTCAGATTCTCCACTGCCTTCTATAGTATGCTATTTATATTCTATGGCAATTTGCACAGCTATGACAACAGCAGGTGCAAGGCAATTGGGCAACCCAGACTGTTTGCCTCAGGTGTGACCCAGATCAAGGCACTGGATGCAATAACAGGCTAATCTAGCTCAAAGTAATGAAACATGAGTAGCTGTCAAAATAGCCCTTACACAAGGCTCTTCTTTGCCCTGGCGTGGCTCATCCATTAACTTCCAACACTCACATGGATGCTTGTATCTGTTTTATCTTCTAAAATATTTGAAACTGGGCCAGTCCCATTTTTATGTTCAAAAATTTCCTTTGGAAAAAACAACAGAGATTTTCAAAAGGTACAAAAGGTCATCCAGCTCCCATTGAGCACCAACAGAGGTGTGTGTGAGGTAAGCTCATTGTATGGCCAATCTGGTACATTGGAGGTGATAGGTAATGACAAACCATCCTCCCCTTTGCATCAATATCCATGAGCTAGATGATTCTCAGATACTTCACATACTTTGTAAGGAATACAAAAAATGGAGTGACAGAACTATCCCTGCTATGTACAGAATGCTCCATCCTAAGATAAGCACGGCAATCTAAGGGTGCATCTACACAGCACCCTAAACTGGAAATAAGATACTTAATTTGCACTACATAGATTGCATATCTTATTTTGAATCTATTTCAAAATAGCTTATTTTGACATTTGGTGCATCTACACAGTGCCAAATTTTGAAAAAATGGGCTATTTCAAGGCATTCCTTACCCTCATGAAACGAGGATTACTGGGATGCCAAAATGGCATACCCGTTATTTTGAAAAATACTTCGAAATACCAGGCAGCTTGTGCAGTGTAAACGTGCCCTAAGATTGCCATGTTAGCCACCTAAAACTCACTGTTATTCTACTACACTCTCTTTGGGGGTGAAGAGAGTATAGGAGAGGGGACACTGCTGGGGGAAGTGGAAATAAAATATAAAATTAAAGGAGAGCAAGGAAGCGAAAGAAAACATGGAATTTCTTGTGCACATAGATAAGATGATTATCTGGACCTTTAGGGATAGTTTCCTACTCTTAACCTATCTGTAGGACACCATTATCTGCTCATTTGTACAGAATTCTTTTCAGTTTGGCAGCCTATCGTTTAGTTCTTCTTTTAAAAGATATCTTGGTGGAACCAAGTAGTTTTCATACATTTAATGAGGTACTGCAAATCGGATTTCAGCCAGTACTGAAGTTTCATCAATTCCTGGAACATTCTCTAATACTTAAAGGTTTTTCAAGCCACTCTTCCCTGTTCTAATGCAATCTCATTGCCTTTGGCAGACACTTGGCCATTCAGAAAAACTGCCAAGACACTGGGAGAACAATTTTCAGTTAACAGTGCATCAAAATCCCACATCCAGTGCCCTTTGTACGATACAAGTGGGATTTTCTAGCACTCAGTGGGGGTCTAACTCACCTCACATTGAAGGAGTAAGGAGCACTGAGGAACCTGGCACATGTGGCTCGCCTGAGGAAGTGGGTTTTGCCCTTGAAAGCTCAAGGTACTATAAATATTTTTGTTAGTCTTTAAGGCGCCACAAGACTACTCATCTTTTTTAAAGTTACAGACTAACACAGCTACCCCAAGACTCATTAAAGAAAATGGTAACACTTCCATTGACTTCAATGGAAATAGTTAAACCAACACTGAGTGACTTAAAAATTCCCACCCTCTGTGTGTGTGTGTGTGTGTGTAAGCATGGATGCTGTATAAATTATGGTCCGCGTGTCAGAAAATAGAACCCAGGGTCTCTTTCAGGGCTATTGTCGAAGCTGCTTATTAGATGTGCCAAGATTTACTTGTTATATCGCAAGGAGAGGGTCAGAACACACCTGTTTCCTGGAACCTCTGAAAATCAACCCAAACAATCTGGGTGACTTAGCAACTTCCACCTGGAACTAGTGCTCTTGCTCCAAGTGCAAACATCAACAGAACATTTTATGACCTTAGAACTCTTGCTATCAATGTTCAGCTTAACTGTCTGCGTATTTATTGCTAAGCTGCTGCTGACCTCATGTTTCTGTCTGCTATGGGAAAAAGAAATTGCCATGTTGTATGCAAGAAAGGCTTTTTGAGTTCTAGTTGCACAACCCCTCATTTTAGAGGGTAGGGGCTAACTGCTATATGCGTGTCAGGCCCCTTTAGAATATTTAAAGGTGGGGACCCAAAATCACGAATCAGTTCTGAAAATTTAAGCAGGTTTTCCTTTCATTTCCCTTGCATATAAATTCAACAGGTAGGAGGGTATTAATAAGGTACAGGAGAGCTCAGCTCTGTTTCTGGCTGTGCTACAGACTTCCTGTGTGATCTTGGGCCTGTCACTTAACCTCTCCGTGGTTCATCTGTAAAATGACTCGATGCCTCACAGGGACTTCATGGAGATTTGCTTCACTGAAGTTTGGAATGAACTTTGAAATCCTTTGTAAAAACAAAGTTGTGTTATTGTTCAAATGTATCCCTGCTGCATCTGAACATCTGATAAAACAATATTGTTAACCTCTCAACACTGCTTGAAGCATTAGCTGTCATTCACCATTGCTGTAACTTTCTAATTCACCTTATACTTATGAGGCAATGGCATGAGACAGCCCATATCTTGGGAGCTTAAGGGCTGCAGAGTGTGGCCTGTCAATTTTCAGACTCCAGATTGGAGCAGACTCCAAATAATAGGCCCTTGTCCAAAAAGTAGCCGAATGTGGTGTTTTATTACTAATGCGTTCATTATCTGGGGAGTGATTCCCAGATGCATGTTTCCTATTGCTGTCCATATTCAGTGCCAGGAACAAGAGTTCATGTCAGATAAATACTTCTGTACAAAGTCACCCTCTTGAAAGAGAGGGGCTAATAGGCAAGGCTTGCACCTGGCACAGTAGCCAGCCCGTGCCCCTTTAAGGGGTCCGGGGCCGGGAGGGGGGCATACTAGTTTCCCTGGTGTTGGCCAGAGTGGCCACCAGGGAAAGCTGGGGAGGGCTAGCCTCCCACTAGTTCGAATTAAGGGTCTACACAGCCCTTAATTCAAACTAGTAAATTCGAACTAGGCTTAATCCTCGTGGAATGAGGATTACCTAGTTCAAACTAAGCGCTCCGTTAGTTCGAATTAAATTCGAACTAACGGAACGCTAGTGTAGCGCCTATGAAAGTTAGTTTGAACTAACGTCTGTTAGTTCAAACTAACTTTGTAGTGTAGACATACCCTTTGATAGTCTGAGCCTTAGTGATTTGCGGTGGCATGGTAATCACAAATATGCCTTTCACAGTCTACTGAAAATCAATTTGTTCTGGCTAAGTGGAAAGGATTCTACTTTACTCATACCCACTGATTTTTGTTTCCACAGAAGATTTTTTTTCTAACAGTCAACTAACATTTCATTCCTTTGTGCACATATACATCTTGGTAAGAGTGTTTCATCTATGACTGCTGTATGAACATATAATAAAACTTACTATCTAAGTAGAGAAGACAGAGAAAGGGTGGGAGAAAAGGAATATTATTATTCCCATTTTCCAGAGCTAGATTTTCAAAGCTATTTAGGCATCTTGTGGGATTTTCAAAAATGTCGAAGCAAGTTAGGCACTGAACTGAGTTCAATCAACTTGCCCAAGGTCATGCAGGAAGTCTGTGGCAAAACTGGGCACTGAATCTAAATCTTCTGAGTCCCAGATGAGTGAGTCAGTCAAAAGACTGTTCTTTCAGTTGCCAAGACAGTCTCACACTATGCAGAACCTCTCAATGTTGTATCAGTTCAGCACACATGTGTGCCAGGAAGTTAAGTTGAATTTAATGTGTGGGAGTGCATAGAATATAAGTATGTGGATGGAAAAAGGCTGTACAAATCTGCACTATATCATTTGATATGACATGTTAATATGCGTTTATGAGGGGACTGGGCTCTAAAGAAAATAGAATATGAAATACCAACAGTATAAATACTGAAAAACTTCTGTCTTGCGACCCAGAGCAAAGCAATTATATATACAATCTAAAGCAAATGTGGCCCAAGGTTGGTTTACGATAAGTTGGTTTATAAATTATTATTTTATTACCGTCATATTATCGGGTGCACTTAATGTCACAATAACTGTTCCTGGTGGCCCCGGGGGTCCTGCTAATCCAGGATCACCCTGAAAATAAAAAGAAAGATGAAGTTAATGAAATTAATACTCTGCATTCAAAAACCATAAAATGTGAAATTGCCAAATTAAATCAATTTATGTTGATACAGTTATTTATTCACCCATTCCTCCACTTAAAAAGGCATACAGAAAGTATAAGATATTTAATATTATTTCTAGCTTTTCTATATGCAGAAGAACAGAGATGTGTATATTTATTTACTCCACAGTACCTAGAAATAGCTCAGTGGTTTTTGTCCTGCTAAACCCAGGGTTGTAAGTTCAACCCTTGAGGGGGCCATGTAGGGATGTGGAGCAAATCTGTCAGGGATGGTACTTGGTCCTGCTGTGGACTTGATGACCTTTCAAGGTTCCTTCCAGCTCCATGAGATAGGTATATTTCCATATTATATAAATGTTATTGCCAATGCAATTGCTAGTAAAGTGATATCACACAACTTCTTCCTCATCAATTTTTAAAAGAATCTCTCCTCGTAGCAATTGGAGTTCTTCTCCGATTCTGATGAAGTAAACCTGATAGTAAAGTACATAGTCCCTTTGCTAAATCTTTTTAAAATAGCTGCCTAATATAATATCAATAAATGGTTGTAACATATTGCTGCCTAACATGTTTCATCTACAATTTTGGCATTTTAGTACACTTGCTCATTGAGGGCTGCTGAGTACAGAAAAATCCTAAATTTGAGCTTTCCAACAGAGGTTACCAAAATGCCAGCAGTCATTTTACACAGCTTTCAGTCAATCTTGTGTTATTTTGTGGCTGTTATCAGTATTGATTTACAAAAAATATAGTAATGTCTTCTGTGAGGCTAGCTAACTGGAATTTGGAAGTCAAGGTTCTACTTAAAAGAATATAGACAAGACCAGTTCAATAAATATATTCATTAGCTAAATGATTACATAACTAACATTAATTTTATTGTATCTGACTCATATAATCAGATCTGCACACACAGAGCATCGCATTCCCAAGGACTCCAATGACTAAACTGGGAGTGGGCACAGACGTAAAGATTCACTTGCCTGAATCCAATTGCAGGACTGGAGTCTATGTGACAATGAATTTACTTATTATCGTTTGCAATGTGCACTGAGACACATTTGTTTATAGGGTGATATAACAATGTGAATAACAAAACATCCTATTTTTATGGTTTGACATTGGAAGCTTTCTTGGAATATATTCTTGGAATTTTAGATAACATCATGAAGACGAACACTGAAAAAGATGCATGATCAGAGCATCTAAGAGTGAAGTCCACGACTGATATTATTAGGAGCTTCAGGGGGTAATCGAGGTAGCCTGTTACAGAAAAAAAAAAAGAGCAAACAAATGGTCTGGTAGCACTTTATAGACTAACAAAACATGTAGATTGTATTATGAGCTTTCGTGGGCACAGCCCACTTCTTCAGATGACCGGAGTTATGACTAGAGGATAAGAAAACTCAAAATAAATAGGAGATGGGAAGGGGGGGAGGGGAGAAAGATACTCTGTTGCCCACCCACCTACCTCTATGCATAAAGTATCAGGAGAAAGGGTGCTAAACCTGAGTAGATAAAGATCAAAGTCAATGGATGGATAAGACAGGAAGGATACCATTCAGAAAGCAATTATTTAACTCCATGGCTAACTGAAGAATAGGATTTGCAAACACAGTTTGCTAAAATAATGTAAACCACATGACTGCTTTCTATTACTAAATACTAACTGCTAGCTCCAAGAAGTTAAGCTTCCTCTTAAACTGCTAGTTTGCTTCTATCTTTCACTCCCTAGGGGAGGGAGCAATTATTAAGTGAAGATAGTTTGTCCTTTGATGTCTTTCTGTAGTGAAAATAGTTTACAAATACATGCATGTATTTAGAACAAATTACTTTTGCTTCACCATACTTCACCGTACTTCCCTTTCAAAAATTTCATTATAGTAAGAAATTGGAAGCAAAATTTTCTCAAGTTCTAATTATATCACAGAGTTACCTGTATTCCTTTGGTTCCAATATTCTTAGTCCCCATGACACCCTACAAAAAGTTTTAAAAATGTTACTTTTATTCTTGTTTCTAAAAACCACTCATAAATAATGAATGAAAAAACAATGTTATGTGAGATTTAAGAGTTTTAATTTTTATAGCAAATCTCAATCTACCTTAGGTCCTGGAATGCCCATTCTCCCTGAAATACCCTAGAGAAAACAAAATTAAAAGAATAAAAATCCCCAGCACAATAAGGATGTGTCTATACTACAGAGGAAGATTGAAGCTGCCGATCTTCCAGGGTTCCAATTAGCGGTCTAGTTAAGACAGCTAATTTGAAGTGAAAGGGGCACTCCAGTTGATGCTGGTAACCCTGCTTTCATGACGCATAAGGGAAGTCGAAGGAAGAGTGTTCTTCCTTCAACTCCCTGCAGTGTAGACAGTGCCAAAAGCCGAGTTAAGCTACTCTTTCTTCAGCTATGCAATTAATGTAGCTGAAGTTACGTATCTTAATTCGACCTTGTCCCGAATACCCTAAGGTACACTACACTACACTACAATGTTAGTTCGAACTAACGGACGTTAGTTCGAACTAACATTCATAGGCGCTACACTAGCGCTCCGCTAGTTCGAATTTGAATCGAACTAGCGGAGCGCTTAGTTCGAACTAGGAAAACCTCATTTTATGAGGATTAAGCCTAGTTCGAACTTACTAGTTCGAATTAAGGGGTGTGTAGCCCCTTAATTCGAACTAGTGGGAGGCTAGCCCTCCCCGGGTTTCCCTGGTGGCCACTCTGGCCAACACCAGGGAAACTCTACTGCCCCCCTCCCGGCCCCGGACCCCTTAAAGGGGCACGGGCTGGCTACGGTGCCCGTGCCAGGTGCAAGCCTGCCAGCACCCAGCTAGCAGACCCTGCACCTGG